AAACATTAAAACAATAAAAATCGTGATAACAAAAGTAAAAAATAATAAAAAAAAGTAAAAGATAGATAAATAAAATAGTAAAAAAAAATGATAAGATAAATAAAATGTAAAAAAGTAAATAAAAGGTAAAAAATAAAAAAGTGATTTAAAAGTAAAAAAAAGTAAGGGAAAAATAAATAAATTCAAACCAACCCTGCAGCCCCGCTATCTGGTTGCCATTCTCCATTGGTGGGGGGTTTGGCAGGGAGGGGCGCATTGAGGAACCTGGCCTTGGGGCAGCAGAGAGTAAATCCGGCCCTGAGTGTGCTACGTGTGTAATAATTTAAAAAAATTATTCTATCTTCTCCTCTAGATTGAATTATAATAACCTGACAGACACTTCCTGCCCCCACCTGGCATCAGGAATAAGAGACAACCAGACACTGAGAAGACTTGACCTGTCTAGGAACAATCTGGAGGGTCCTCGATTCAGTGACCTGATGACTGCTCTGGAAACCAGCCGGATAGAGGAATTAATGTGAGTACAAGAGGACTGGTTGGAACAATGGCGCGGGTTCAGCAATTTGCACTAATACGCTAGCCAAGTGGTCTCTCAAGCCATATTACTGTACATGGTAGTAGTGGTTGATAGACCACGTTGGCAAACCTACAGTGCTGTTAAACATTGAAAAGAACATTGCCTCCTGTTCTCCGGGAACTTCATAGACAGGTTCAGTGATCTACACATCTGCTGACTGAGGAGGCAACTGAAGGAGTTTGTCATTGATTCTGAGGTCCATAAACATGTATTATTATTATTATTATTATACAGGATTTATAGAGCGCCAACAATATAAGGAAGATATTACAATCACAATACAATTCAAGACAAGGTGGTAAGGAGGGCCCTGCCCCTGAGGGCTTACAATCTAAGAGGGAGGGGCCAGTGATACATGAGGAGGTAGCTGTGTGGGGATGAATTGTATGAGAACGTGACGGTTGAGTGGTTAGGTTGAGGTGGGATCGGCTTCCCTGAAGAGATGAGTCTTTAGGGATCGCCTAAAGGCAGTCAAGGTGGGAGATAGATGGACAGGTTGGGGTAGAGAGTTCCATAGGATGGTAGAGACTCTAGTGAAGTCCTGGTGGGCGACCTATCAAAAAATAAAGAGTTAATTACTCATTTCAGGAGACTGAGCAGAACCATGCAACTCATTTCTTTATGTTCCTGGGCCACCTGTACATCCAGAACAGTTGGCTTACAACATAGATAGGGCCTGATATTATAGAGCCATTTATCCTCGGTTCCGGCCAGGTCGCTATCTGCATGGAGTGTGCATCTTCTTGTTGGGGTGTCCTACAGCACTCCAAAGACATGCTGGTAGGTTCCTCTATTCTTGTTCTGGTAACAACACAAAATGTTGGATTAGCCCTCAATATTAGGAAGGGTCGAATCTATCCAGTGAGGACACGGACTACTAACCCTTCCCCACTCCATCCGAGACCAAAATAAAATGCTTTGGCTTCAGAATCACCGTTTGGTATACGGGTTGCTGTCAGTATAGAAGACAATGGTAGGTAGATGTGCCACAGTGATAGCAGCCCATACGAAGGGATCGGATGTTACTTATTGGTGGGATTGGATACATATAAAATAGGAACTGTGACAATGTTTTCTAAATGTAATATCTTCTGTCCCTTTGTTAGGGCTCATTCTCTGTGTCCTTATAACCAGTGTTAGGCCCCTTTCACGTGGCCATTCCGTCAGTCCATTCTTCACCCGTGATCCCACAGATCAAAGACGGACTGCAATACATCCCTATGGGTGGCCAGATGTAAGCAGATGTTACCCGTCCTATATCAGCCCACCTATAGGTGTAGGTTAGTCAGCTGACCACAACAAGTTTGTGTCCAGGTCCGCTTTCACTGACCTGCCTAGGTGTAGGCACATATAGATGGATACAGGTCCATTTACATATGACCAGGGCAGCCATCAGAAATTTTGGGGCCCCTTACACGGCTTTACGCAGGACGCAGTGACGTGCTGGACGCAGGGCTTAGTGACGCGCTGGACGCAGGGCTTAGTGACGCGCTGGACGCAGGACCCACCTGAGAGTGACCCTGCAGAGCCCACCATAGATGCTGCACAGCCCATCTGAGACTGTCTATGGTGGGCTCTGAAGGGGTCTCAGGTGGGCTGGTCAGGGCTGCATCCTTCCTCTCCCTCCTTTCCTTCCTTCCTTCCTTCCTAGCTCCTCTTACCTGCACACATGGCCTCGTCTGCCGCCGGACCGGCCAGAAGTGACGTCCCGTCACTAACGTGACGTCACTTCCGGCCAGTCCGACATCAGACGAGCAGCGTCGCTGATGGGGCCCCAGCTTGTCTCAAAGCCACTGCAGCGGCAATGCTGGGGCCCTGCGCTGCTAGGGCCAGGCCTCCGCCTCCTCGCCCTTCTCCGTCGGCCGATAGTCATGTAAGGGACCCGGGCGGGCCCCCCAGGCTGCACGGGTCCCTTACATGAGTATCGGCCGCACCCCCCTGATGGCTGCCCTGCATATGACCACCCATGGTTATTGCATGGGTCCATTATAACTCCAACCCAAGATGGCAGTAGAATTGGAACTGACACCGATGTGACATATGAAGCATCCACCTCCATTCCGATCCGACTCAGCGGAGGATCCTAAGGGATCACACTCATGTCAAAGGGGCCTTATTGTTCTGTCTTTGTATTTGCAGTGTCAGCTACAATCAGATAACAGACAGTTCCTGTGTCCACCTCGCGGCCGGAGTAAGAAATAACCAGAAACTGAAGAGGCTTGACCTGTCCCACAACAAACTGGAAGGTCCACATTTCTGTGAGCTGATGGAGGCTATCTCCAGGCCAACGTGTGGGATAGAGGAATTATTGTGAGTATAATAGTCTATGCAGGATGAAGATATACAGGACAGAGGAATTATTGTGAGTATAATAGTCTATGCAGGATGAAGATATACAGGATAGAGGAATTATTGTGAGTATAATTGTTTTTTTCTTTTTTTTACTTTCTACAGTTTAACATATGCCAAACTGACAGACATGTCATCTACCCACCTGGCATTGGCAATAAGGAATAGCCAGACCCTGAGGAAACTTCATCTGTCCAATAACAATCTGGAGGGTCCTCATTTCAGTGATCTGATGACCGCTTTGTCCAGCCCAACATGCCAGATAGAGGAATTAGTGTGAGTATGACAGGTCCCAGCAGGGACACCACCTGTGGGGTATGTGTGGCCAGACATTGTGGACACCTGACCATCCCACTTATATGAGCTTTTTAAACCTCCCATTGGAAAACAAAAGACATTAAAGGAGAACTATGGGGTCAGGGCATTTCCCCATAGTTCTCCTTAGGGTAACGGGAGGACACAAACTAGCGTCCTCCCGTCACCCTAGGCTCAGTATATAGGGAGCTACAGCCCGCGGTATACTGAGACGCCGCAGCTGAAGCGGATCCCGACAATTTTGTCTGGATCCGCCCAGCTGCGTGACTGACAGCTGGCTCTGCCTATCTAGAGGCAGAGCCAGCTGTACCCGCCCCCTCCCCCGTCCGATCCGCCAGTCAGCGCTATCGGAGCAGGGAGGGGGGAATAGGGGCAGGCCCAGCTTTCCCCCCCCCCCCCCCCGTCCGATCCGCCAGTCAGCGCTGGTCAGGTGCAAGAATTTGCCCAATTAGGGCACAGTACTCTGTAAGAGCCATGATTGGGCAAAGTCATGATGACATTGCCCAATCATGGCTTACCTGTTAGATGATGTACAACTGTAAACAGTTGGGCGGAGTTAGCTGTCGCCGCTAGCTCCGAACAATTGTTTTATATTTTGCCGGCATTTTTTTTGTTAATAAAAGACTTGTCAAAAACTTGTCTTTTGGGTTTTTCTTTTCAATTAAAGGATTTTTTTAACTTATATGGAGAAGGTTAGCTATCTCTGGACTCAGATAAGAACCGCTAGCTTCCTCTAGAACAGATACCTGGAATAGGGTGAGGGATCTCTCTTGTGGGTCCCAGACGGTCGCTCTCACCAGCTCCTCTGCGGTACCCCTCAACAAGGAGACTCCACCTCCGGCCCCAAGCTTCCATCAGGTCTTTTCTCAGAAGTATCTGGAATCTCTGTGCCCTCAGCATCTGCCACTTGCCAAGGAGCACTCCAGATTAGTAGTAGTATCTTCTTAGAACAAGGCACCCATCACCTGCCACGTGTATGGGGCCCAAGCAAAGTATCTGTGGTGTCTTAGGCCTCTAGGCCCCCAGCACCTGCCATGTGCTGAGGCCCAAGCCATTCATCTGTATCACAGAGACCTCCTAGCGAGAGGCCACAGGAGGGGAAGAGAGCTCTGCACAGTGTCCCAAGACCTTGTATTACCTGCCCTCAGCCATACCTCTGAGTCATCCTACTCAGGGATTGGTCAGGGTCAGGTGCATGGTCATAGTCTGAGGATGGATCCTCCCTCACTGTATGCCAAGGCTCCCTTTTCCTCAGCAACAGGAGGAGCAATCAATCCAGCAGACTCAGGGACACCTATAGAATGCAGAGCTCTGTATAATCAGTATCTAGGCTGGTTACAGTCCAGATATTCACCAGATTTAGTAGTGACATTTTAGAGGGCGCTACAGATGTTTTTTGTTCTTTGATGAAATCTCTAAAACGTTTAATGTTCGAGATGATTATTCACAAAATCTTCTTCTGTTTTCCTAACAGGCTGCAGGAAGGAGGACTGACAGATCAATACGCACCGTCCCTGGTATCGCTGAGCACCAACCGCAACCTCAAAGTCCTGGATCTGCGCAGTAACAGAATATCAGATGCTGCTTTTTGCCACATCCGGGATCTTATAGCGAGATCGCCCAGCCTGAAGGAGATATGGTGCGTATGATCCCGGACTATACAATCAGAGGTCTCGCCCTTCTAGTCCTGAGAATGAACACAGCTGAGGTTTCTCATGGCACTCTGCTCCCTGATACCTGTGCAAGCAAGCAGCACTGATATGCAGAGGTTTGGCCAAATACTAAGACAAATTTAGGAACTAAAGCAAAACTAAACCATCAATTATTTAAACAAATGCTAAGAGGAAGAGCTGTACAGGAGAAGAGACTTTCTTCCAACAGGTTTGTTTTTGTGTGTAGATGTCCAGCCCACTCCTGGCATCTGTAAGATATATTTGGTGCCGGGTGTTGGGACAATGTAACTCTACCTTCTATACACAGAACACCTCCATCTCTTCTCATCTCCCTAATAAACAGGGGTGGTGTTCTGTAGTCCAAACCAGGAGCTAGCAGTCTAGGCCAACTCCATCACCTTACTTTATCTGTGGAGGAGCAGCATCGTCACCCTAGAACAGGAAGTGTGTCACTGGCAGGAACAGGAGGTAGAAATAAAGGAAAAGAAGCCTGAATGAAAGGAAACGGTTGGGGTCCGTAGCACCTCCAGGTGGCGCTGGAACCAGGTCCTGCAGTTCCTGCTCTCACTTTCAGGTGTTTCCAGGCAGCCAGAAGCTGTCAGGTACCAGACCACCGCTGGGTGGTGCTGGAACCTGCATGTTCAGTGCTCACCTGCAGGTGTCTCCCAGCTGCCTGTGATTATTCACCACCTGGTGCTACCAGGGAGGGTATTTAATCCCTCCCTGCAGTGTGGACGTTGGCTAAGTATTGTTGTCATGTCCTGAGTCCTGATGCCCCCCTAGTACCCTGGCCCTTGCCCCCCTTGAGTTTCTTTGCTCCCCGGGTTTACTTGTCCTGCTACCTTTTTATATGTGCTTGCATTTACATTTAGTTAGTTACTATTACTTGTTTGTGGCAGCCAGAGACCGTGTTGTTTTGGGTCATATAAGAGAGGTTATATACCTTGGGATCAACGACCTGACCTGATCTCACCTGATAGCATGTATTGGCTCTCAGCTCCTCAGTATACATTGTGAGTCCTTCAGTTGTATACATGTCACTTAAGTTGAGAGCTATGTTATTTGATGCTGTTATGCACACAGGCATTTGATTGCCAGATCTTAAGGGGCTGCGGACCGCTGGCTGCAGTATCAATATTAGGCACAATTAGTGGGTTTTCTTATATATGGGGGCTGACAGTGTAGAACTCTCTCTGAAAATGCAGCTTGACTGGCTGTTATACTGACCCTACCTTTGCAGCCCAACTGCAAGTTGGGCAGACTCCCCCTTGGAGCACTACCTTCACCCTTGGAGCACTATCTTCACCCTTGGATCACTATCGTCACCCTTGGAGCACTATCTTCATCCTTGGAGCACTACCTTCACCCTTGGAGCACTATCTTCACCCTTGGATCACTATCGTCACCCTTGGAGCACTATCTTCATCCTTGGAGCACTACCTTCACCCTTGGAGCACTATCTTCACCCTTGGTGCACTACCTTCACCCTTGGAGCACTATCTTCACCCTTGGAGCACTATCTTCACCCTTGGAGCACTATCTTCACCCTTGGTGCACTACCTTCACCCTTGGAGCACTACCTTCACCCTTGGAGCACTACCTCCACCCTTGGAGCACTATCTTCACCCTTGGAGCACTACCTTCACCCTTGGAGCACTACCTTCACCCTTGGAGTACTATCTTCACCCTTGGAGTACTATCTTCACCCTTGGAGAACTATCTTCACCCTTGGAGCACTATCTTCACCCTTGGAGCACTACCTTTACCCTTTGGAGCACTCTCCATCCCCCTTGGTGCACCCCCATCCACCTGCATTTTTTAATTGTTAGTATACATACCTTTTATAGTGCGATCTGGTCAGATGATGTCCCCAGGTCCTCTTCTCTCTGCGGCATCAGTAGGTGGTCCTCTGTCATGCAGATATGATGATTTCCTGTGCATCCAGGCCAACTCGATGACATGGACCCTGGGTGTTCTTGACGTCCTGGGCACGCAAGACGTTTGTTGAATGAAAGAGTTAGTGCTGCTTTGTGAGTTTTTAAATGGGGGATCTTAAAAGAAATATTGAAGTAGGGCCCTAATACTTTGCAGATTAGGAAAGTTGGAGAAAATGTAGAATTTCTGATCTGTATGTATAATGTGAGTGAACAGTGCTGAAGCATCAGGGTCATCATGTCATCCAGGCAACAAGCATTTCACTTAGAACCTTGGTTCTCAACTGGTGGGTCGTGACCCAAAAGTGGGTCGCGACCCCGTGTTCAGTGGGTCACCTCATGCCTTCCACTTTTCTAGGTGAGAGGCTTCTCTGCCTACCCTAAGGCAGCATTGTCAGTTCTCACACCAAGCAGTCATTTAAAATATGCTGCCCGGCGCCCAGTGTCAGCTTGAGGTGGGATGAGATGGGGCTATGGCCGTGAGGGAGCTCCATCTATCCATACGTGCATTGCTTACAGCTCCCTCATGTCCTATAGAGGTGCCTGGACCGGAGTGACGTCACATTCTGGCTCCCGGGACCTCTACAGGGCATGCAAGGGAGCTGTACAAGCAATGCACATATGGATGGAGCCCGTTCACACTAGTAAAGTGCGTTAATTGCATAGTAACGGCGATTAACGCACTGTACCTCACAATCAAGGTGGATTGATTGCATTCGGTGCATTCTAGCGTGGGAGGTGTGTTGTGTTGCCATTCGTTTGAATGGTACCCCAAACGCACCTCCCACCCACAGCTCATACGCCCGCACCATAACGTGCGGTACTCTAATTCCGTGCATTTCATTGCAATGCCACTAGGTCGCGACTTAAAGGAGAACTATGGGGTCAGTGTTTTTCCCCATAGTTCTCCTTCAGGGTAACGGGAGTTATAAAGACAAGTTTCCTTCAGGTCCATTTGACTAATGTCTGCTGCCAATATTTATTCTCTCTTTCAGTATCGCTTACAGATTCATGTCTGAGGAAGTAAGAAGAGAACTGAAGATGCTGGAGGACCTACGGCCAGGACTGAAGGTCCATATATACTGAACCCAAAGGAGAGGGTGCCGCAGTAGAGCGCTCTGCAGGAGCCGTGAAGGGAGTCAGGATATTGTTTGGATGAAACACAAAGTGAATCGTCATAGTTAAACTAACACACCCGGGATGTTATGATGATGGATGCGGATAATGAAACATCGATTTTGTGGTCTGATATGAAAGCGACCATGTCAAGTCTCAAAGAAATCCCAAAGTCCCTTCCCCACAATAGATTAGGGATGAGCTTTGCCTTTGCCACCAAGTAGGGTTTTCAATGAACTATGGGCAAGTTAGCCCAGACGCTAAAAGTGAACCCCTTAATGTTTTGCTTGACCTGTAAACTCTGCCAAAGTGAAAAATGATGGACAATAATGGGGCTATTGCTGTCAAATCAGCTGCCGACGAGCTTTATGCATCCTCACACTCTGGACAAACCCTGATGATGGAAGCCCTTGAAACACATTGGATATTTCTATACTGTCCTTCCAACCCTACATTGAATAAGGATGTATCTGGACTATTAAACGGAGTGCGGAGCTTCAATTTACAATACTTTGATTTGACAAACCAAGGAGACAGTGGAGATCCTTTGGAATGTAAAAGTCAGATGACTCGGTCAAAATGAAGAGACAGGTCACCAGCACTCAATAATTTGAATAGATATGTCCTTTTTAATGGACAAAGATGTCACAATGATCAACAAAGCCGACGTTTCGGGGGCCGAGCAGGGTCCCTTCCTCAAGGCAGAACGATTGGTCACATCGTTCTGCCTTGAGGAAGGGACCCTGCTCGGCCCCCGAAACGTCGGCTTTGTTGATCATTGTGACATCTTTGTCCATTAAAAAGGACATATTTATTCAAATCATTGAGTGCTGGTGACCTGTCTCTTCATTCTGCATTTTGCACGGTGCCATCCGTGGTAGTTACTACAAGCACCATCGTTTTTGTTGGCCGGGACTGCTGTAAGGTGTGCGGAGGGCACTTCTATCGACTAAAAAGATAACTTGGTCAGTCATGCTGACTGTTTCCCATCATAATTGGTCGGCCTCACCAATAGGATAAACATTGCGGGTCCAGCACTTTTCATTGTACTGTTTTTGAGCTTTGTGAAGGAGAGACAGTTTGTACTATTTGTACAGTGCTTGTAGTGTGTTAGCACAGAGGTATACAGTGCTATATTCACTGCTGTACATTGCCACTGCGACATTACAGTGTTTTTTTTGTGAATTGCATTGTGGCGTGACTGTGTACCACCCATTGCATTCACAGTGAATAGACCCAAAAGTCCTTTTTAAGACAATTGTTTCAGCCAAAAGTGTTATTGATATTTAGCTGCTACTAGTTCCCTTCTTTTTTTGGGGTATTTTATTTATTTATTTTTTTGTTTTACATTTTTTTTGTTTCCAAAGCAAAATATAACAAAAAATGCAAAAAAAAAGGATTTTGTCTTCCATTT